CTCGATTTAAGCCGGTTTCCCATTTGTGAATACAGTATATACCATCAGTGACGGAAATGGCCACTGCTGCGAAGATACCATTGTCAAAACAACGCCATCCCTCCGTGCAATACAGCTGATACTGATGAGATAGGCACCTGCAAATTCAGCAAATAAAATCGGAATTCGATTAAACGAGTGCGCGGGGTTCTTATCAGTTGCTGGACAGTTCATTTCTTCTGTCCTGAACCTTTTTAACCTCACCGGGGAGACTCTACTTCTACATGTACGAATAACATGGACTGCAGACACACACCTATGTTCCAGCACTGTCCCCTGAAAGATACCAGTGCCATTGTCGATCCACGAAGATAGCTCATCGGTACTGAGATGCAAAAATACACAGGCAATAGCTAAGTGTCTTTCTCAATCTACAGCGTGCAAAATGTTTTGGAAACACGTTACGTCCTTCGTGCGCCTTTTCTCTTTGGCCAATGTTGCACATCCAAGGAAGTTCACAGTCTCGACCGCCATAAAAACTTCCAAAAATATATTGGTGCAAAGATTACCTAATCATCACCATGGTCCAAACAGTGTTGTCTTGCTGTGTTTCTTCTGTTCCTCTTTCAAAAACTCTGGATCTTCCTTGGCTTTCTTGTAGAATTCCCAATCGAATGATATTGGCTTATCGGATTCAATGCTCGCTTTGCTGTGATGCACAACATTCGGCATTTCCATTCGACTCTTATCAGTGTGCCAGAAGCCTTTTTTCCAAAATGTGTAATCAAAGTAACCATCGGCAACTTTTCTTTTATGCTCCTGAAATTCTTGGTCCGTTAATCACTGCCATCCACGTGTTTCCTGCGCAGCAGTGCAGCAGCCTTTTGTCAGATCCAGAAGGAACGCGAATTTGATGGTAAACGATTATAATGCTTGTCCCATTCCTACTTTTTTCTAATAAAGGATAAAGAGAAAATGCTGAAGTAGAAAAAAAAAGAAGGGAGGAAAAACGAAGTAAAAAGCGAAGTGAAAAAGGGAAATGGGAATATGGAAATATTTGTAATAGGTAAGAAATGTTTCGGTCCATAAAGTCGTATACATTTCTTAACTCCAACTGCTACATTACCTTGAAGAAATCAAACAGTTAAAAAACAAGCTACTTCCGTCCTTCCATCGGGACAAAAAAAAATTTACTCCAGCGCCGACTAACTACCATTATAACTCCATGACTCCACTTAATTTTGAACCACTAATCAGACAGGCAGTGCTTTCTAACCCCAAATTAATTCCACGGAAGTACATCTCAAACAGTGGTGCTCCAGTGCTTCCAAGGCATTACAACTTCTATGCAGGCAGAGGTGCAAAGAAATCCTAATGGGATGCCGTGTCGCCGGTTGCAAAAGCAAATGTTTACTTT